TCCACTAAGATTTATAGTACAATTCATATCAGTATATGTGATATTGCAATGATTACCAATAATAAACATTAATAAAAATGATTATTTTAATGATTAAAAAAAAGGGACCTGTTTAGAGACTTTTAACCAACCCGGTATACAGTAATAGATTATAATCCTATTGTGAGATATCTTCTCGCGTAGAGATGCTGGTGAAATTAAATTGTCAAAATAATTACACCATTTCACCAATTACCAACCGGTAATGGTGGAATTGGCGAATTTTAAATATGAATAGAAGAATATTATGTTTAAAATTCAAATTTGATTTAGGTCATACAAAGTTAATTTATTGATTCTCGTAACCCGGTCGGATCAAACTTTTTGACTGTCTGGGTTGGTTTTTTAAATATCTACTATATATATATATATTTTATAAGTATAAAATTATTTTTTTTAATAAACCAAAAGCTGGATTATTTTTTAAAATTTTATGAGACAAATAACCCAAAAAACTTTTAATGTTCTCAAATAGAGATTATATTTTAATAATACTGTATACACGGGTCGAATGATAGCAAATCGGATACAAATCGGGTGTCTAATTTTAAGCTGATTACTATCATTTTGTTGCAACAAAAAATCGGGTAATAGCGGTTCGATCTGTGATATGGTCTCATAAATTGTGTAGACACTATGAACATCAATTTTTAAACACTGATTATGATAGTATACTGTATATTAATAATGAAATTATTGATAATAGTATCTTTTTGGTTCTTTCTGGAGTTTGGTGTACGCAGTCTAGTATTAAAGGAATTAAATTTATACTGTAGTAATGCTAGTTTAATAATCTCAATTTCACCAATTTTTACCAATTTTCACAATTCAACAAGTTCTCTATTTTATCAAAATTTCTATTTTGTTGAAATTATGAAATAATTTCAACCAGCATCTTTATTTTAGAAAAGATTTAAATTTGTCTTGAGTGAAAGAAACGGTCAAGATAGTTTTGTTTATTTGGGTTGATTGGCAAATAACAAATTATTTTTTTTATAATGAAATAATGTATATTTGTTAATTCTTTTTCGTACATATTTAAAATTGTACGAAATAAATAATTTTGTCATATCACTTAAGATGGATCGGGAACAATGTGTTTACATAAACATCTTTACAAAATAAACCACTAGATATAAATTTTTGTTAAAGCATAAATTAAATCTTAAAGTACGTACGTGTTATTGCACCTTCACTAACCAAGTAATATGGTTGGCCAATGAACCAAAAAGTGGCTTAACAAATACCAGTGGACTATGTCCATTGACAATGGATAATGTCCATTGGCAATGAATAATGTCCATTGGCAATGGATAATGTCCATTGGCAATGGGTAATGTCCATTGGCAATGGCAATGTCCATTGGCAATGGATAATGTCCATTGGCAATGGATAATGTCCATTGGCAATGGATAATGCCCATTGGCAATGGATAATGTCCATTGGCAACGGGTAATGTACATTGTCCATTGGCAATGGGTAGTGCACGGCACAAAAACTTGATTATCAAGTTTTTGAATCTATCAATTTACAGTATTGGTAACAGGCATCTGAAATTTAAAGTCAGATTAGAATGAAAATAGATTTTGTAATTGAAGCACAATAAATCGATAGATTCAAAAACTTGAAAATCGATTTTGCCGAGCACTAGTAATGGGTAATGTCCATTGGCAATGTGACAATGGATAATGTCCATTGACATTTTTTTTCAGAGCCCAATCGTAGTCCTTGGGAGTAAGTTGCGCTTTGGAAACACTTTAATGCGTTTCGCTAACGCACAATTGCATGATATTTCCAAGTTAGGTGTACAATACAATATCGATATCCAGCGATAGTAAAACTGTACTATCACACCTGAGAATTAAATGTCGCGACTGATGTTGAAGCTAAAATTTTTAAAAATAAGTCCTGCTAAAATCCACCTATATTCTTTCAAATCTAACCCTAAACCTAACCCTAAAAAAAAAAACCACCCCAAAAAAATTTTAAAATTTCATATAAAAATGGATACAAATTTTGGCATCAGCCAATTTCAGCATCAGTCGCGACATTAAATATTCTATATGATATTATATTCACATACACATCATTTATTTTGATAGACTTCATATTTAGTTGATCCTAATGGATCAATTGTAAGTAGTCGGTTTATAAAATAAAGATTATTGCGTCAAAGAATTTCTTTAAATTATGAATATATATATAAGCGAATTCAATACTATTTCAACATGCATTGGCAAAATTAGTTGAAGAATCCATGTCTATTTTAGTCTCTGATTCAATCCGATCCAAAATTTTGTTAATATCACCTAATTGTAAGTCTTCACGACAAAATAATATTTTTGGTGGTTTACGAACACGCATAGAATGTTGAAGCATAGTACGATATTGAGTAAGATTAATACGAAGTTGTTGTTCTATGGCGGCCTTGAATGAGTGTATATGGCAGAAAATTAATTGGGCAATTAATTTTAAAGATATTTTAAATTAGAGTGTAATATTTACCTTACTGATACCTTTCTGTCCTTCAGGTTTCCACCATATTCGTGCAAATTTTGAATCTGGAGATACAGTTATCTAAAGAATAGTAAAATTAACCATAAAGACATTTTCACGAAATCTTATTCTTTATACACTTACGTTAGTAACTTTCATGAATGTAGAAGTTAAATACACGTGCGGGACTTGATCGTTACACTTAATAATAGCACGGCTTAAGCGTTGTGAGAGATTGCGCTGGGTGTAACTCAAAGTTGTTGAAGCATCGCCGCTTGTATTGTGTGTTCCTTCCTCATTTTTGAGACATTCAGATTTACGAGCAGAAATTCTTAAAACAGGCTATAAAAACGCGTCAGTATTCGCAAATTTATAATCCAAATTGGTCTTTAAAAAATATATTAGCATGTTAAATTATTATTGTACTTTAAAACTAATAATCTTAGTAGAAGTAACATGAATTCAGACAATTAGAATGTTCAATACTTTCTAATTTAGTAAGAAAACTTTTAACAGACAACTATGCTACTAAATTGTAAATGTAACAAAACAAAAACAAAATATAATAGTATTTTAAAAAAATTATTAAGTTAATAAAATTTTTTATTTAATTCTACAAGCATCTAGAATTAAAATAAAATAAAAAATATCAAATTTGATCAGATAATCAGAGAAATCTTTGCTCAAAGTTTTAACTTAAAGTGATCATTTCTCAATACTAAATCAAATTTTTTTTACAGACTTATTGAATTAAAATAATAATATTTTCATAAAATTTTTTTTATTTTATTCTACAGATCTGTAGAAATAAAATAAAAAAATTATGATTGAGTACTTAAAGTTAAAAAAAAAGTACTGTTTTTTTCTTTTACAAGAGAGTTAAAACTTTGTACGAGGAATTCTTGACGATTACCTGCTCAAATTCGATAAATTTTTTTTATTTTAATTCTGGTTGCTTGTAAAGCTAAATAAAAAATTTCATCAAGTTTAACCATGTGGCTGTCGAGAATTATTGATTTTATTTTTTAAAAAATTTAAATATGTGTTGTAACTTTAATTGTTAAATTTTATCATTAAATTTCATAAAATTTGACCCAGTAGTTATCGAGAAATTTTCGTTTAAACGTCCTTAAAAAAAACATACCTTACTTCCAAGACTTGAAGCTTCGCGTGCCTCCTTTTTAAGTTGTCTTTTATTCTTTTTAATAAAATGAAGGTATCTACCTGGTATATAGTGGGTTTCTAAAATTTCGTCTGCATCATTTATAGGTGACGGTTGAAAATTTGCTGACGTCTTTATTTGACGAATGAATATGCTATTGCATAAAAAATTTTTGTTCAGTAAACGGAATGTATATCTTGTGCAAGATATCATCTTGGTACAGCATTAAAAGATGTCAGATGTCGATGTCAGTTTATCATGTCTGTCTGTTCACGTGCGTGATTTTAGGCATATAATAATCGTCTTGAAAAAATTCAGGAAGTGACAATGGAATTATTACAAGGAAAAGAATACCTTTCAATATTACAAAGCAATGAAATAAAGAAACATGAACATACAGTCGTACTTTGGAATATGAAGCTTGATTTAAAAGGTGGACATACAATAACACATTACTTAAAGTCATTAGAAAATAGTAATTCTGATAATAAGCAAAACTATAAAACTATAACAAGAACTTTTCCCTGCAAGAATGAAGTTCGACTAAGTGATTTAAATATTTCAAATTTGGTACGTTAATCTTTTAATTCATTTATAAATAATTTTGCCCGTTATTAATATTTTTATATGGTTAATTTATTAGATACTCCTCGCGCCAGCTGTACCGTACCTCGTGTCGCTTCGAAAATTGTATCTTCAATATAACAAACTTACAACTATTCCAGAATCACTTTTTCATCTAAAATCTCTTGAAGAGTTACATTTACAATGCAATAAATTAATTTCGATCCCTCCTCATATTGGGTTTTTAACTTCTCTTCGAGAATTATTTCTTCATAATAACCAAATTCGGAAAATGCCATCGCAAATCCGTGAATGTAAAAAATGCTCTTTTATAAATCTGAATGACAACAAATTAACGTGTTTACCGGCAGAATTTTCCACCTTAGAAAATCTTAGAACTCTTCGTGTAAAGGGCAATCTTTTTGAACAACCACAAAACGTTAGTCAGAGCAAAGTTGAAGGCATCATATCAACTTTATTTGATATGTGCGTTCAAGTCGTTGGAAGTACAATGTTGGGACAAGGAAAACATTTCTATTGTTCTAATAATCAAAAAGTTCCATGTTCTCAAAAGGAAAATTGTATTCATAATTTTCTTGTTAAAGATATTTTGGAACGTCTTAGTATATCAACCGATTACCCGCCAACTATTTGTTCATGCTGTAGAGTACCTCTGTTTCAGTCAAGAATTTTTTTTAATGACTTTGAACACATCTGTGGTCGATGGGTACCTGTAAGGTTTCAATTATGTTCATATACTTGTAGGAACATTACGATGAAAAGATATTCATTAACCAATCAAAGGGATAAACAATTACCATAAAAGGATGACAAGAAACAATTTCATAAGTTGTCAAAGTTTACAATTAATATTAATCTTCTAAAAACTTTTGAAAATAATACATGTATTTAATTTAATACATGTATTTAATTTTCGATCCAAAAATACTTTAAAAACAATGAATGACAATTGACATGTTTTTTTTTAATAATGAATAAAATAATATGAAAAGAAATTCCAAAATTAAATGACTATCTATTAAAGACTATTCGGATTTCAGATGGTTTACGGCGGCTTCAGAGTTTATACTCTCTTGAGATGCTCTTTTTGGGTCATGATCCTAATTATTACAAAAATAGATGTATATTGATATTAGATAAAATTCATTTAGATTATGTTAATCGTTTCTCAAAATAATAACATACCCTAGCGTTAGTATGCTTGCGCGGCGCAGCCCATTCTAGCATAAACATTAATAAACTAGACACCAAATAGATCTCATGTGAAATGTCATGAGTAGATGTTGTATAATACAATGTAGTAAGGGTTGTAGTTCCCCATAGAACAGAAAGAGGAATTGCAGGTCTAACAATTCCTATATTTTCAAAGTGATATATGACCACAGTTATTAACTATCAATAGAAGATGAAAAATATATAAGTATCAAACGAAACGATATCGAATTGTGATTATACAATAAATGAATCGAAATATGCACAACTTACAAGAACAGTTAACAAAGCTCCAGTGACAAAAATTTCTGGTGCTGGATGGCCAAAAATGTATTGTGCAAAATATTTAATGGTAAATAATACGGCCAAACTATTTAACAAAAGCTTTTTTTTGTAATGTTCAAAGAATTAGAAAATTAGAAAATTAATCAGAAAAATCAATTATTGTCGCGGCTGAAGCTGGAAACGGCTGAAGATAGAAATTAGGGCCCTCAATTTAAAAATATAAACCCTACCAAAATCCACTTATACTCTTTTATTATAAAAGCTAACCCTAAACCCTAGCCTAACTATTAAAAAAAAAAAAAAATGCACCCCAAAAATTTTTGAAAATTTCATATTATAAATAATTAAATTTTCCAGCTTCAGCCGCGACAATTATTATAAAATGCTCAAAGTTGATTGACAAACCAATTTGGCTTGCATTGACGGTGACTCATCGGTAGGTTCCGGTGGAATATACCAATTTCCTTTACTACTTCTATGTCGTGCAGTATATATTGCACTTGGAAGCACAGTGTAAATGACAAGAAACGCTGGTATTCCAGCAATTCTAGAAAAATATAATATGTCAATTACACCAGAAATTTGTAAGAATATGATAGAAAAAATAAAACTCACACGTCAGCTAAACTAAGCGCATTAAAGAAAGCTGCCTAAAATACAAAAGAATAAGTAAACATAAAATAAATTCCCAGTTCTTTACAAAAAAAACATCTACGATAATATGATAAAATCTCACCCAATCTGGAGGTAAATACGAAGTAATTTCGACGCCAAACATTATTATTTTTTTTTAATTAGCGTTATTAACGTTAGGAATTCGTAAATTTGTGAAGACGAAATCATTTAGAACTAGTTTTTATAAATCCACTTTTGGCACAGACATGTGAATGTATAATGCAACCTTATCTATATAGTAATCATCTGCATCAATGTAATTCCACGCGCGAAAATGAATTTTATTTTATAAAACGTGGTCTGACGAAATATAAGCAAAATCTTTGCTTGAAAATATAAACGGGTAATCTAACGGACCTGTGCTTCGTGGAATTTCCCAATGATAAACCAGGCTCACACGGAAGAATACCCCGAATTTTAGTAATTTTAAGTCAAAAAAATTAGCCAATCCTTAGTTTTTATTTTCTCAGTTTTTACAAGAATAACTAACGCTAATATCGAGAAAACCATTTGAAACTCAACCATTTGATCACTTTCATTTATACAAGCAATCTTAATTTTGCTTTCTACAAAGGTCTAAATTTTATTAATGCTCAGATAATCTCTTTTAACTTTGGTCGCCACCCGACACGAACAAAGAGATTTGATAATGATCTCGAAAGTCCAGATCAAAAAATTGCCGATACTGCTATAAGCATCACCCTGGGGAAAATAGTGAATAGATCTCGGTAAATAAGCTCCGTTTAAATTATTATTCATTGATTTCAACTCTTAGAAAAGTAAATAACGATAACTAATTTTACTTCTCTTTTTTCTCCGTAATAATTACGATTTTGTTATTCAATGATCGACACAATCACCCATATTAAATTAATCTTCGACATTAATAATGAAAGTAATGAATTATTTACTAATTTCTTTCATCAAAAATTATTAGTATTTCGAACGCTAATTTCAGCTTGCCCAATAAACAGATCCCCTGTGTTTATTCATAACAGTGACACAGGATCTGATGTTATCTGTTATGGATATCAACATCTTTATTTATTGCTACTAAATAATTGTGTAAATTTAAGTTACTCAATTTTCTGTAGGGTTGAAGAAATGCAGAAATGGAACGCACCATTACACCAGATTTATTAATAAATACTAAGAAATACATTCGTCAAATAAGGTGACGAGTTCTGTCGAATACTTCTGCCTTTGGATCAAATTAATTCGTAATTAATGTTATTTATCTACTCTTTTTTTAAAAAAATTTTTTTTTTTTTTTTTTAAATTTTATTCACGTAATTTAATAGTCAAGTATTACATTTGTTAGTTTCAATTCGTGGACTGATTCCAATACATTAGCAGAAAAAAATATATGCAAATACTACTAGTGTTTTTCAATAATAAAACGTTCCTTAAAATTTAAAAGGAAAATCTTGATACCTTCCCCTACAAAATTCCCAAATATCAACCTAGGAATAAATATGGATCTTCCAAACTTCCATATAAATATATCGTATGTACAACGTTTGCGAAGAACCCATAAATAATGAAACTTTTTTCATTCGGTCGATCTTTGACATTTTTGCAAGGCAAAAATCTGTAATTTGAAAATTTTGCGGGGACGACAATAACCTTTTTTTTTTTATTTCTTTAGTGAACGTTCGAATTATAATTAATTAAACACAATAAATAGAAGTAAAAAAAAAAAAAAAATGTTAAAACCATTGGGCCATAGTTTGAAAAATATGTCAAACAAGCAAAAAAACATACGCTGTACAAAGATTCGTTTTTAAATAACGTACGAATCTCAATTGTGATTAGTTGAAGAATTAGTAGTACTATCACCATTATCACCGAGGCCGAATCTTGCACGTCTTCTTCTCTTTTTTTCCTTCATTTCAATCTTCTCTTTTACCCTTTGATCTTCTAATTTCTTGGCGCACCGTACCGAACAAAAGTCATACCTGATTGGAACGTCCGGGACTAAACACACCCATGTAAAATTCAATAATGTCGCCGCTGATTGTGTGTGCCAAGAATCACACACCGCACAAACTCGTTTATTTGGTTCTAATAAGGTCGATCGGATTACTTTAGGCAAGTAATTACATTTAGTTACATATTTTGTGAACAAAATGCTCTTATTATTATTTAAAATATCACGGTAACACAATTCAGAAAGCTTAGGCACGGCTGATTTATAATAATAGATGAGCTGGGAATTATCTTCTGTTTCTTTAATTAAAGGATTATTACCAATATCAAGTTGTTGTAGGCCATGTATTTTCAGAATTTGACAAGGAATTTCCTGGAGTTGATTATAAGATACATTTAAATTTCTAAGATGAATAAGTTTGCCAATCTGTACAGGTATCCATGAAAGCTGGTTATGAGAAAAGTTTAGGTGTGTCAAGTGCTCAAAAGGAGTCGTATACAATGGCAAGGAGAATAAAACATTATGAAGACTTGACAAGTTGTTGTGTGTCATCGTTAGACAAATGCGATTGACTGATAGCGAAATTGCATTTTCAATTTTATCAATTACATTGGTGAATTTATTAGTTGAATCAGATGATTTTTCATCTCGAAGACTGCTTTGCCATTTATAGATGGTGTCGCTGACTTCGGTCCTATTTACATCTTGATTCTTATTCACTACTTCAGTATTTTTATGACTATCTATCCATTTTAATAACTTTTCGTTTCTTGAACTTTTTCTAATGTGCTTATTTGAGAGAGCACGTAAAGCACCTTTTTCAGCACCGCCACATGGTTGCGACGTGTTTGGAATTGACTCCTCGTGCTTTTGATTTAGACTCATCCATCCTGAATTTTTAGAATTTTCGTTGTTTCGATACCTGATTTTATTCAATCTTCCAGCAATGTTTGACATCTTGCTTATATTATTGCGTTGGTAATTGCCAATTTGAGTTTTCGAATTGTTATCGAAAGAGTCTTCTTTAAAATGGATATCCACTTTTTGTCGCAAACTTGTTATACTCGGTATTATACCTTTTTCGTTGTGTAGTCCGGATATATCTTGACGAAGTACTTGAAATGTTGTATGCATAATTCTCTAAAGAAAAAAAAGTTTTTTGTAAGTAAAAGAATCTTGCATTAAAAAAAAAGAAAAAAAACAACGCTGGGGCTTTTTGTTAGTTTATTTGATTTTGAAAAGGGGTTTATTGAAGTATAGCTCGTTTTTTTTTTTTTTTAGAGTGGCCTTTTTTTTTTGGTTGCATTTTTATAGAGCTGTAATAGTTGCACTAACCAAGCCACGATATGTATAGAATTTCTTATTTTGTTAAGTATAATATCTTGGACACCTGATTGCATTAATCGACTTAAAAAGTGACTGTGGCACAGAATAGATAGTTTTTTTAGTTTATCCGTTAATAAAAATTCGAAAAAGAATTATGCAATATCAAAATTACAAAATTTTATGTGTTGTATTTTTGCAAAAAAAAGTTATACGTAAAACTTTGTTACGTATACCAGATACGTATATAGTGAATTTATTATAGTTATACTGTACATATATAAGGTGGAGGTATTCTGACGGAGTTAAGATTTATCAAAATTTGTTTATTATAAAACCTTAATAAAATATTATTAATTTCAAA